GAACAACAAATACAAACAAAGCAGAACATGAAAGGGTTTTTCTCCCTGAGAGGTCAACAAGGATTGGAGAGAAAGCTTCATTGGAGACCCCTTTCCCACAGGATAATGACTCTTCCAGGAATAAATTCCCTTTCCTTTCACTTCCTGTTGTCTCCGCCCCATTCTTAGCCATGAGTCGGTTGCAAATCGGATGTTTGTAACTCGGGGACTGCCTGTAATCCAGTTCAAAGCAGGCCCCTTTCACACAGTTGTATAAAAATCACATTGAACTGGATTATATGGCAGTGTGGACTCAGATAACCTAGTTGAAAGCCGATATTATGGGGTTATCTGCCTTGATAAAGGTAAAGGTTGTCCCCTAACATTAAGTCCAGTCGCCATTACCTTCCCACCAGAGGCGGCCCTAGGTAATTTTCAACAGTAAGCAAACAGTATTTTGGCGCCCCCCCCCCAACCAATCATTGATATATATTTTCTGTTTGTCGTGGGAGTTCTGTGTGCCATATTTGGTTCAATTCCATCATTGGTGGAGTTCAGAATGCTCTTTGATTGTAGGTGAACTATACATCCCAGTAACTACACTTGCCGCACTTGCTCCCTTGCCTGGCCCGCTTTGGGTCCGGAGGCGTGCCTGAAGACCCCGGCGTGTGCACCAAAAGTCACCTCTTCTCCTCTTTCTCCTCAGCCATTGGGACCGAGAGAGAGAGAGAGAGAGAGAGAGAGGGGGATGCCCACCTTTCCTGAAGGTAGGCGCAAAAACAAAGGAGGGAGCGGAGGTGGGAGATACCTCCAGCCGGAGGGGCTCTCTCTCTCTCTCTCTCTCTCTCGGTCCCAATGGCTGAAGAGAAAGTCAGGAGAAGAGGCGACTTTTGGTGCGCACGCTGGGGTCTTCAGACACGCCTCCGGACCCGAAGCGGGCCAGGCGCGGCAGCTCCGCCCCTTGGCCCACCTGCGGATTGGGGAGAGGAGAGGAGGTGGGTGGAGCACCAGGGGATCGGGAAAGGGAGACGGTCATGGGGAAGGGGTCAAACGCGGAGAATGATTGAGCGCCGGCTCTGCTCGCGAGGCCGGGTGGAGCAGGAACGAGAGGGGCTAGGCGAGGCTCAAGGGCCCGGCCCCTTTGGGAAGAGGATCACCTGGCAGCGAGGCAAGAAAGCCGAGGCTCCCCCCAGACTACTAGGGCTGTTGTGAGCTGAGGGGGTGCTCCTCAAGTGGCAGTCGAGGGGTATTTACAGAGGCGCCTCTGCGCCCCTGGCAAAAAAAAATGTTCTGCAACCGCTTACTTCGCGTAATGGACGAGCCGCCCCTGCTTCCTGCTGAAGCGATACCTATTGGTGTACTCACATTTTTTTTGTTTTCAAACTGCTAGGTTGGCAGAAGCTGGGGCTAACAATGGGAGCTCACCCCATCTGAGGATTCAAACCACCAACCACACAGTCATATAACCTAGAACCCTAACTCTGTGGTGCAGTGGGTTGAACCACTGAGCTGCTGAACTTGTTGACCGAAAGGTCGCAGGTTCAAATCCGGGGAGTGGTGTGCAGTTCTGCTGTCAGCCCCAGCTTCTGCCAACCTAGCAGTACAAAGAACATGCAAATATGAAATCAATTGGTACCACTTTGCTAGGAAGGTAATGGCACATCCATGCAGTCATGCTGACCACATGACCTTGGAGGTGTCTATGGACAATGCCGGCTCTTCGGCTTCGAAATGGAGATGAGCATCACCAACCCAGAGTTGGACACAACTGGACTTAATGTCAAGGGGAAGCCTTTACTTTTACTTATGGCTGTATGAAAGGGCCCGTAGATAATTAGGGCTCCTTTTACACTGCCATGTAAAATCCAGATTATCTGCTTTGAGCTGGATTATATGGTAGTGTAGGCTCATATAATGCAGTTTAAAGCAGATAGTGTGAGTTATCTGCTCTGATAATCTGGATTATATGGCAGTGTAGATCCAGCCCTAGAGGGCCCTTCCACATAGCCCTATATCCCAGAATATGAAGGCAGAAAATCCCACAATATCTGCTTTAAACTGGGTTATCTGAGTCCACATTCAGATAATGTGGGATTTCCTGCCTTGATATCTTGGGATATCTGCAGAATATCAAGGCAGGAAATGCTACACTCGCAGAGCTCAGGCAGTGATGTATTTCAGTGTCAGTGTTGACTTTTGTGGAGAGGTGGCTGCCAAGGTAGTGGAAATGGTATATAATCCAGTTCAATGTGTATTTTACTTTACTTACTTAGGCAATCCCTTGTTGTCTGAGTAGGATTGTCTTCCAACATCGGTGTCCTGGCGGTGGGTTCGTAGGTGACTGTGGAGCCCTATTCTTGACCTGCATCTTCTACCGCAGTGAGGACACCGGTTTCCAGGTGGAAGGCACTCCTGGTCGGGGTTGGCTTGATACGCCTTTCTCTTGGCACGTTTCTCTCTTTTGCCCTCCATTCGTGCCTCTTCAAATTCTACAGCATTGCTGGTCACAGCTGACCTCCAGCTGGAGCGCTCAAGGGCCAGGGCTTCCCAGTTCTCAGTGTCTATGCCAGAGTTTTTAAGGTTGGCTTTGAGCCCGTCTTTAAATCTCTTTTCCTGTCCACCAACATTCTGTTTTCCGTTCTTGAGTTCTGAGTAGAGTAACTGCTTTGGGAGACGGTGGTCGGGCATCCAGACAACGTGGCTGGTTGGTGACGGAGGACCATCACTTCAGTGCTGGTGGTCTTTGCTTCTTCTTCCAGCACGCTGACATTTGTCTGCCTGCCTTCCCAAGAGATTTGCAGGATTTTCCAGAGGCAGTGCTGATAGAATCGTTCCAGGAGTGTGATGTCTGTAGACAGTCCAGGTATATAGCGGGGTTGGGAGGACAATAGCTTTATAAACAAGCACCTTGGTATCCCTACAGATGTCCTGATTCTCAAACACCCTCTGCTTCATTCGGAAAAATGCTGCACTCACAGAGTTCAGACGGTGTTGTATTTCAGTCTCAATGTTGACGTCTGTAGACAGTCCAAGTCTCGCAGGTGTATAGCAGGGTTGGGAGAACGATACCTTTATAAGCAAGCACCTTGGTCTCCCTATGGATGTCCCAGTCCTCAAACACTCTGTGCTTCATTCAGAGAAATGCTGCACTCACAGAGTTCAGACGGTGTTGTATTTCAGTCTCAATGTTGACATCTGTAGACAGTCCAAGTCTCGCAGGCGTATAGCAGGGTTGGGAGAACGATACCTTTATAAACAAGCACCTTGGTCTCCCTAAGGATATCCCAGTCCTCAAACACTCTGTGCTTCATTCAGAGAAATGCTGCACTCACAGAGTTCAGACGGTGTTGTATTTCAGTCTCAATGTTGACGTCTGTAGACAGTCCAAGTCTCGCAGGTGTATAGCAGGGTTGGGAGAACGATACCTTTATAAGCAAGCACCTTGGTCTCCCTATGGATGTCCCAGTCCTCAAACACTCTGTGCTTCATTCAGAGAAATGCTGCACTCACAGAGTTCAGACGGTGTTGTATTTCAGTCTCAATGTTGACATCTGTAGACAGTCCAAGTCTCGCAGGCGTATAGCAGGGTTGGGAGAACGATACCTTTATAAACAAGCACCTTGGTCTCCCTAAGGATATCCCAGTCCTCAAACACTCTGTGCTTCATTCAGAGAAATGCTGCACTCACAGAGTTCAGACGGTGTTGTATTTCAGTCTCAATGTTGACGTCTGTAGATAGTCCACGTTTCGCAGTTGTATAGCAGGGTTGGGAGAACGATACCTTTATAAACAAGCACCTTGGTCTCCCTATGGATGTCCCAGTCCTCAAACACTCTGTGCTTCATTCAGAGAAATGCTGCACTCACAGACGGTGTTGTATTTCAGTCTCAATGTTGACGTCTGTAGATAGTCCACGTTTCGCAGTTGTATAGCAGGGTTGGGAGGACGATAGCTTTATAAACAAGCACCTTGGTCTCCCTACGGATGTCCCAGTCCTCAAACACTCTGTGCTTCATTTGGAGAAATGCTGCACTTGCAGAGCTCAGGTGGTTTTGTATTTCAGTCTCAATGATGATGTCTGTAGACAGTCCACGTCTCGTAGTCATATAGCAGAGTTGGGAGGACGATAGCTTTACAAACAAGCACCTTGGTCTCCCTAGGGATGTCTCGGCCCTCAAACACTCTGTGCTTCCTTTGGAAAAATGCTGCACTCGCAGAGCTCAGGTGGTGTTGTATTTCAGTGTCATTGTTGACCTTTGTGGAGAGATGGCTGCCAAGGGAGCGGAAATGGTCAACATTTTCTAATGTTACACCATTAAGCTGTGTTTCTGGCATTGGAGAGGGGTTGGTTGGTGAGTGCTGGAGGAGCACTTTGGTATTCCAGATGTGCAATGAACTACAAACTAGAAGAAAGGAGATTCCACCTGAACATTAGGAAGAACTTCAGCAGTGGAACTCTCTGCCCCAGAGTGTATACAGCTGTATGGAAGGGGCCCAAGGATTCCATAGAATCATAGAATCAAAGAGTTGGAAGAGACCTCATGGGCCATCCAGTCCAACCCCCTGCCAAGAAGCAGGAATATTGCACTTAAATCACCCCTGACAAATGGCCATCCAGCCTCTGCTTAAAAGCTTCCAAAGAAGGAGCCTCCACCACACTCCGGGGCAGAGAGTTCCACTGCTGAACGGCTCTCACAGTCAGGAAGTTCTTCCTAATGTTCAGATGGAATCTCCTCTCCATTATTCCATTATTCTGCCAGGTAGTAAGGCACCACCAAAGCCTTCCCGACAGATGGCCACCTAGCCTCTGCTTCCAAACCTCCAGAGAAGGAGGCTGAAGCAGCTGAAGCGGCTGGACCGTCCCCCTTGGGCAGTTCTATGGGGTGACGCTCCTCCTCCTCCTGCTCCTGCTTCCCTCCTGCTGGGCTCCTTCTCTCCCTCTGGCTCTGTTCCTGGGAACGGGGAAGGGCTTTGGGACTGTTCCGCCCCCGGCTCTGCGGCTGCCAAGGCGGGCCAGCCCAGCTCCCTTCCTGCCTGCTTGCCTGCTTGCCCAGCATGGCCGGAGGAGAGGCCACCGGGGCCGGAGGAGGGGGCTGAGACCCCCAACAGATCCCGGCATGGCCCGCTGGATCCCCACCAAGCGGGAGAAGTACGGCGTCGGTGAGTGACACGCGTGTGGACCCGGGACCCTTCCCACGTGACGCCCCTCCCTGCAAATTGCACCCTATCCCTCTTCTCCCAGGTTTTTCTCCCCGGACACGCATCCCGGGGCCGTTCCCACGTGCAACACGCGTCTCGCCCGCCCTGCCTGCCTCCCTTGTTCCTCTTCGCCAGTACTTTTCCTTTCGCTCCAACTCTTCCTCTTTCCTCCTCTCCCTGCAACCCTTTTGCACTTTGAATCCCTCCCCCCCCCAAAGATTTTCTGCTTTGAACTGGATTATATGGCAGTGTAGACTCCACTAATCCATTTCAAAGCAGATAATGTGCATTATCCGCTTTGTTACTCTGATTTGTATCTGTTTATCTCAGATTATATGGCAGTGTAGACTCCAGTAATCCATTTCAAAGCAGATAATGTGCATTGTCCGCTTTGTTACTCTGATTTGTATCTGTTTATCTCAGATTATATGGCAGTGTAGACTCCAATAATCCATTTCAAAGCAGATAATGTGGATTATCCGCTTTGTTACTCTGATTTGTATCTGTTTATCTCAGATTATATGGCAGTGTAGACTCCAATAATCCATTTCAAAGCATATAATGTGGATTATCCGCTTTGTTACTCTGATTTGTATCTGTTTATCCCAGATTATATGGCAGCATAGACACCAATAATCCATTTTAAAGTAGATAACGTGGATTATGCACTTTGTTACTCTGATTTATATCTGTTTATTCCCAGATTATATGGCAGTGGACTCCGATAATCCATTTCAAAGCAGATTATGTGGATTATCCACTTTGTTACTCTGATTTGTATCTGTTTATCCCAGATTATATGGCAGTGTAGACTCCACGAATCCATTTCAAAGCAGATAATGTGCATTATCCGCTTTGTTACTCTGATTTATATCAGTTTATCCCAGATTATATGGCAGTGTAGATGCCAATAATCAATTTTAAAGTAGATAATGTGGATTATTCACTTTGTTTCTCTGATTTATATCTGTTTATTCCCAGATTATATGGCAGCGTAGACTCCGATAATCCATTTTAAAGTAGATAATGTGGATTATGCGCTTTGTTACTCTGATTTATATCTGATTACGCCAGATTATATGACAATGTAGACTCTGATAATCCAGTTCAAAGCAGATAATGTGGATTATCCACTTTGTTACTCTGATTTATATCTGTTTATCCCAGATTATATGGCAGTTTAGACTCCGATAATCCATTTCAAAGCAGATAATGTGGATTATGCTCTTTGATAATCTGGTTTATATTGATTTATCCCAGATTATATGGCAGTGTAGACTGATAATTCATTTCAAGGCAGGTAATGTGGATTATGCACTTTGTTACTCTGATTTATATCAGTTTATCCCAGTTTATATGGCAGTGTAGACTCTGCTAATTCATTTCAAAGCAGATAATGTGGATTATGTGCTTTGTTACTCTGATTTATATCTGTTTATCCCAGATTATATGGCAGGGTAGACTCAGATAATCCAGTTATCAGATTTGCTTTGATAATCTGATTTATATCTGTTTCTCTCAGATTATATGGCAATGTAAATGCCAATAATCCATTACTAAGAAGATTATATGGATTATGTGCTTTGATTATCTGCATTATATCTGTTTATCCCAGATTATATGGCAGTGTAGACACAGGGCCCATCCACACAGACATATAACCCAGAATATCATGGCAGATAATGCACAATATCTGCTTTGAACTGGATTATCTGAGTCCACACTGCCATATAATCCAGTTCAATGTGGATTTTATACAGCTGTGTGGAAGGGGCCTCATATAATCTAGTGCAAAGCATATAACCTGGGGTCAGATCCTGGGATATCGGGCAGTGTAGATCGCAGCCTTTAAAGTTGTTTTCTGTCAAAGTAAGAACCTCCCCAATTATTTTGTGTATATATTGGGATATATTATAGCTAAAGGTAAAGGTTTTCCCCTGACATTAAGTCCAGTCATTTCTGACTCTGGGAATCTCCATTTCTAAGATGAAGAGCCGGCGTTGTCCGTAGACACCTCCAAGGTCATGTGGCTGGTATGACTGCATGGAGCGCTGTTACCTTCCCACCAGAGCAGTACCTATTGATCTACTCACATTTGCATGTTTTCAAACTGCTAGGTTGGCAGAAGCTGGGGCTAACAGCAGGAGCTCACGCCACTCTCCGGATTCAAACCTGTGACCTTTCGGTCAGCAAGTTCAGCAGCTCAGCTGTTTAACCCACTGCGCCACCAAGGGCTCCTACGACATATTATAGGATGCATCTACACTATAGAATGAATTCAGTTTAACACCACTTTAAACTACCATGGTTCAACGTATATGGTCTTGGGAGTCATAGACCCCTTTCTGCATTGCCATATAATCCAGATTATCAAAGCAGATAACCCACATTATTTTGATCTGGATTATATGAGTCTACACTGCCATATAATCCAGTTCAAAGCAGAGAGTCTGGATTTTGAATGGCAGTGTAGAAGGGGCCATAGTTTTCCCAGGTCTTTCTTTTTCTTTGCCTGATTCTTCCCCCACTCTACAACACCAGGAGCCATGGCAATTAAAGTGGAATCGAACTGTGTTAACTTTAGAGTGTAGATGCTGATCTCGCCTTATTTTTGATGTGCCTGCTGCAGACTCATCCTGAGTTTTGTAAGGGAGAGTCCTCAAGATCCTTGTAAGCAATGGGTTACCCATTAACACGTCTTTATCTCTGCTATGGGCAGGATGTTGTGGAAGCAGCAGAAAGAGAGAGAAGGAATGAATGAATGGCCAACTGGTTCTCCTTTCCCTTCCTCCTCCAGATTACATATTCAGACTGCAAAAGGGAATCCAGTGCATGCCAGGGACTGAAAATTAGAAATACAGAAGTGATATACATGAGTGATATGTTCCTTCTATATGACTTACTAGCTGTCCCCTGCCAGGCGTTGCTGTGGCTCAGTCTGTTGATCTGGAAAATAAAGTAATGAGAAAGTGTTGGTTTCTAATAGATGTAATTCCTTTCTGCTTGTGGGTAAACAGTATTTCTTGCTGTTTCTTTGTCAGTGTCGATGTGGAGAGTGTCTGGTTTGCCTCCTCTGGAATATGCAACATATCATTGTCCTTCTTCAGGGGTCCCTTTCAAATCTAGGATACTATATATCTCTGTGTGTGAATCATATATATCTATCTATATCTATGGCTGGATGGCTCTTTGTCAGGAGGGCTTTCATGCCCTAGTGAAGGGAATTGGACTGAATGGCCTTGAGTATTTTCTGTTGGTCATGGGGGTTCTGTGTGGGAAGTTTGGCCCAATTCTGTTGTTGGTCTGGTTCAGAACACTCTTTGATTGTAGGTGAACTATAAATCCCAGTAATGACAACTCCCAAATGTCAAGGTCTATTTCCCCCAAACTCAATCTGTGTTCATATTTGGGCATATGGAATATTCGTGCCAAGTTTGGTCCAGATCCATCATTGTTTGAGTCCATGGTAGTCTCTGGATGTAGGTGAACTACAACTCCCAAACTCAAGGTCAGTGCCCACCAAACCCTTCCAGTATTTTCTGTTGGTCATGGGAGTTCTGTGTGCCAAGTTTGGTTCAATTCCATCGTTGATGGAGTTCAGAATGCTCTTTGATTGTCGGTGAACTATAAATCCCAGCAACTACAAATCCCAAATGACAAAATCATAATTTTTTGAGTGATGGTCACTCCTTGTGTTGTGAGACGTTTTGTTGCCAAATTTGGCATGATTTCGTTCATTGGTTCTTTTGCTTTTAAGGTACTCATTATGCACAGAGCATTTTATATATATAGATGGTGATGCCATGAAATTTAAAGGAGTTTCTTAGAATGGAAAAGAGTACCATCAATGGAACTGGTATCTGTGGTTTCATTTATTGACATCCAACAAAATATGTCCTTTCTAAGCACACTATAAGTCAGTGTTCCTCAACCTGGGGATCGGGACCCGGGAAGGGGGTGGTCATGAGGAGATGTCAGAGGGGTCGCCAAAGACCATCAGAAAACACAGTATTTTCTGTTGGTCCTGGGGGTTCTGTGTGGGAAGGTTGGTCCAATTCTCTCATTGGTGGGGTTCAGAATGCTCTTTGATTATAGGTGAACTATAAATCACCAAAAGACCATCAGAAAACACAGTATTTTCTGTTGGTCTTGGGGGTTCTGTGTGGGAAGGTTGGCCCAATTCTCTCATTGGTGGGGTTCAGAATGCTCTTTGATTATAGGTGAACTATAAATCACCAAAAGACCATCAGAAATCACAGTATTTTCTGTTGGTCGTGGGGGTTCTGTGTGGGAAGGTTGGTCCAATTCTCTCGTTGGTGGGGTTCAGAATGCTCTTTGACTGTAGGTAAACTATAAATCACCAAAAAGACCATCAGAAAACACAGTATTTTCTGTTGGTCGTGGGGATTCTGTGTGGAAAGTTTCAGTTCTCTCATTGGTGGGGTTCAGAATGATTTTGATTGCAGGTGAACTATAAATCCCAGCAACTCCCAAATGTCAAGGTCTTTCCCCCCCAAACACTACCAGTGTTCAAATTTGGGCATATTGAGTATTTGTTTGGTCCAGATCCATCATGGTTTGAGTCCACAGTGTTCTTTAAATGAAGGTGAACTACAACTCCAAAACTCAAGGTCACTGGGTTGTTGTAGTTTTTTCGGGCTATATGTCTATGGTCTAGAGGCATTCTCTCCTGATGTTTCGCCTGCATCTATGGCAAGCATCCTCCGAGGAAGTGAGGTCTGTTGGAACTAGGGGAAAAGGGGTTTATATATCTGTGGAATGACCAGGGTGGGACAAAGGACTCTTGTCTGCTGGAGCTAGGTGTGAATGTTTCAGCTGACCACCTTGATTAGCATATAATGACCTGACAGTGCCTATAGCAAACTTTTGTTGAGAGGTGATTAGATATCCTTGTTTCTTTCCTTTCTGTTGTGCTGTTGTAATTTTAGAGTTTTTTAATA